ATGTGGCATAGCTGTTAAAATCAAGACCCTGCCAACAAAAGTTAATCTAGCACCACACGCATATTTAAAACACAAAAAAATGCTCTCAGTAACTAAACTAAATCTAAAGGAGAGCAGTGCATATCAAAGCAGGTATTATACATTAAGATGCATATCAATCCACGGCTTCCATAGCAGTAAATACCTGTGGCCTGTACAGACTAAGTCTTAATAAAGTTACTTACAGAACGACGGCCGAAGTCAATAAAAGGTGGCACGGAGGGAGAGAAGTGTGTCATCAGCGTATGTGTTCACGTGACGGGTCGAGACAAAAAACAGCAAGCCAATAAACACACAAGATTCAAAACTCCAAAATAAAACTTATAAATTAGACTCTGCAGTGACATGCTGAACTTTCAAACTATACACAACAAACAAAGATAGAAACACATTAACATTATTGCTTGACATTTAGTTATGGCTAAAGTTACGTTCATCATTAAATAATCCAGATTTCTGTTTGGCTTTGGACCTAAAGAGCTGATGTTGTGGTGAGCTGGTGGTAAAACACACTAGTAATGATTGATTATTTCTAATTGGCTGACTGTTTGAATATGAAGTTGACATGGATGCAGTTGCTGATTCTCGGTGGCGGAACAACAAAGTGAGGCTGCGGATGATCGAAATAAAATCGCTCCCTCCCGGCAGTCTGTAGTCCAAACTTTAAAATGGTTGAAAAATGAGCACAGGTAAGAAAAGGTGTTCACATAAACACACATCACACACATACTGGCAGGTAGGCAGCAGTGCAACACAATATTTTCACCACACTTGACTCTGCATAGTGTCTTTATTGCTCTCAATACCGTTTTATTTATGCAATATTGCTTTCAGTAAGCTGGAATCCCAAACGTCTTCGTTTATCAGTTCAACGTAAACCTTTGTGTGGATACGAGCATTGAGCAGTTTAACCAAAGAGTGATATTTCTGTCTTGGATTTGAATGTTTGATCCACGGCTGAAAATAGTCCCCAATAAACGCACTATTTCCTCCTGTTTGTTTGATTCAAAACTACAGTGAGCAGCTGTTTTGGAAAATGATTGAACCTTTTTTAAAAAGTAAACTATATATTAGTTTTTTTGAAGAATAAAGAGAGAGACTGACTAACAGGCTGTTGGTTTGGCTCTGCACATGGGATTTGTTGGTAATAAGAAAACATGCAGACTAACACTAGACTCATACTTCAAGGTTCCAGGTTGTAGCCGCAGGTTATCAAAATTAATTAGGCTGACACTCAAAACTGTACCCGCCTTTCAGCCAACACATTTAGAGCTGGGGAAGGCAATTTATTTCAGCAGCATTTTAAAAAGAATATATTTGTTGAAATTTGCAGGCTGTTGCAGGACGGTAATTAGTAAGGCCAATCATTTCATTCAGATCAAATCAAGGGTGTCACTTTGTGGTGGGGACATAAGGGCTCAGATAAGGGGTGTGATGAAACACTTAACTCAGGAAACGTGACGATGCACAATCGCGAGAACAAGATGAAAAAATATTTTAACTAAGAAATATTCCATGCTAAAATACATGAGTGGGCATTCTCATCTAAAAGATTTTGAGCTTTAAACACTTAATTTCTTGCATTCTGGAGAAATTTCTTGAGCAATTCATCATGGAAATATCTTTATATAGATGGAAACAAAAATTCAGGTGGCAGGTGACAATTCAAAATATAATGCAGTAATTAGCAGCTTGTTTTTTTTTTTTTTTAGCTGAAAGTACTTTTTTTTTGGACAATGCACATTTGCTTCTTCTATGTTCACAATGTATTGCATGTTTTCTTATTGTGCAAATAAACCTTTCCCAAAGCATTTTTATTTGTTTGTTTGTTTTACATGATTGATGACCAGCTGTCCTTTTCAGACCATGTTGCTGCTGTCTGTCGGTCGTGCCGCTTTGCTCTATACAACATAAGGAAAATCAGGCTCTACCTCACTCAGTACGCCACCCAGCTTCTGGTACAGACCATGGTTATCTCTCGCCACGACTACTGCAATGCCCTCCTAGCAGGTCTTCCAGCTTGTGTGGTGAAACCCTTACAAATGGTTCAGAACGCAGCAGTGCGTCTGGTTGTTGATCAGCCCAAAAGGACTCATGTCACTTCATTACTCAGTGACCTCCACTGGCTCCCCGTGGCCTCCAGAATCAAATTCAAGTCACTAATGCTGCATACAGAGTGACTACTGGGTCTGAACCATCTACCTAAACTCCATAATACAAACTTACGTTCCTTCTCGGCCGCTATGCTCCTCCAATGAACGCCATCCCTTCACACAAAGCGACCTCAGTCCCAGCTATTCTCATCTGTGACACCACGATGGTGGAATGAGCTACCACACGCCATCAGAGCAGGGGCGTCCCTCTCTAACTTCAAGAAGCTCCTGAAATGACTCATCAACATTTCCTCTTGTAAGACCTCAAACTCCTAACCTCTAACGTACACTTCCTGTGCTCTTCCTCTTCTATCCCCTACAATGATCTTGTGTTGATTGCACTTTTTGTTAACTCTCACTTCCTTCCCTAGGTATTTACCCCATGGATGTGATGTGTGCCTTTAGTGCTTACTAGCATTTATTGCTGCTCTTACTAGTATGTATTGTCAGTTGTAGATCTTGTGCTGTATTTTATGCTCTGTTGATGCTTTTATGTTGTTCCTCAGATGTAAGTCGTTTTGGATAAAAGCGTCTCCCAAATGAGTAAATGTAATGTACTGAACATTTTAAACAACTTGTGCTTTCAAAAAAGTGATGGGGACAAAATCAGCCGTTCCAAACAGTGCTGGGGACATGTCCCCAGTGTCCCCAGTGTAAATGACACCTATGGAGCAAATGAAGTGACTGGCCATGCTTATTGCAGGTAGACCATCTACCTGTGGACACTGTGCATGAACATGTGTTTTAGAGGAATGGCTTTGGAGGGAGGCCTGAAGTGAGGGGGTGAGATTTAATTTTAGTTGGATACTTTTACCATCTAGCTGCCTGCTGGTTTCTCAAACCCCAGATTTGACTTAAAGTTTGAGTTTTTTGGTTTATCTTAAACGTGGTTACAAATTAGATTTACTGGGGATTTGAAAGGATTGAGACAGGATAAGGAGATTAGATAACACCATCAAACCGCAACGCTCACCTGCTGCAGACCTGAACTGCAGACAGGAGCAATAAAAGAACCTGCACTTCCCTGCCACGGCCACCAGACGGTGCTACAGGCTAGCTGCTGAATTAGATTGAATCAGCTTCCCTCTGCAGGCTCACTGCACAGAAACATCAGACAGGAGGAGGAGAAGGAATGTAATCATAGAGGATGAAACTACGTCTGTTATACACAGTACAACCTGCTGCCCAGTCAAGTTCTATCTGTGGTGAGTCTGAAGAAGTCCAAAACGCTAAACTGTTCAAAATCATCATTTTCAGAAGTTTCTGAATTTTTTTTTACAGTAAATATCACTTTTAGGTGGAAACTTCTTCAGGTGTTTCTGTTCCGTTTGGATCAGTGAGCTGGGCCACATCTGCATATTTACTTTACTTTATTTTTGTTCATGAGTGTTGAGGATCAGTTGCTCATCTTGTGTTTCCTGTTTTCGCATGACTCATGACTGAAACCACAGAGGAAAAAAACACATTTTCCCATTTCTGTTACCAGGTCAGTCTTCCTGAAAAATCAACTAAATAAAAAATAAAATCAACAAATCTTCAAATGAAACCTTTACAGACCCAGTGTACATGCTTAGTCACTAAGCACTGGGTCTATTTTCATAAAATCATGACAGCAGCCTTTACATTTCTGCTAATTAATAAATCAAGAAAACTGCCTGAGAAGAAACATAATTATGATGTTTGGTGTCTAGTTTAATTATTTGGGACGTTAACGTTTTGCATTAACCTGAGTGACGCATCAACAGACAAGAAAAGAGCCTGGAGCTCTGCTCAGACAGACCAGCTGACCTCATTTAAACCAAAGTACCTGAAACCTGATAAAAACCTGCTTCTTATCTTTACAGACCTCCGATCCACCAAGACAAACATTTAAAAGATAAAAATGGCAGCAGACCACCTTTCTAAACTGTGATGTACCCTCTACTGGCACCAACCTCACAAAACTTTACTTTCACTTCAAGAAGATAACTCAAAAGTAAAAAAAAACAAACAAATCTGTCAGATTGAATTGTGGGAAATGTGTGTGTGTACAATGATTTACAACAGGGCTTTTCAGAGTCTGGGACTGTGGGCCTCCCCTCAGACAAAGCTTAGTTTACTTGGTTAGTTTCAAGTCCTAGATGCCTAATGGTGCTTTCAGACCAAAAGCGAAGCGAGCGTTGGGGGCGGGGCGTTTACATACAAAGTCAATGCAAAGACGCAGAGAGCCGTGATTTCCTGTCGGGCGGTGCGGAGGGGGGGCTGCCGGCAAGGCGGAGGCCCTCGCGTGAGTTGAACATTTTCAATTCGAGCGAGAAAGTCGTATGACGCCGAGTTGCGATAGCCTATCAGCGTTCTGCAGTCCAGTTATTCCAGCTGTCGTTGTACTTTACTGTGAACAAGTTAGCATAGCATAGCCCTGCTCGATCCCAACTCCATTCAGAAAACAAACATTTTTAAATGTTGTTGTCCTGCTGACAGACCTGACAAAGCATCAATTCATATGTTTAACAAATCTGCATCATTTTGTAATTACTGTGGCATCAGTTTAATCCGTTTATTGCCATTTAATCACAGCAAAATGTTTACTTTGGGTTCATACAGCTGTAGAAATGGCCAGTTGTGTTTATTTGCGTTATGTGTGAACACTTGTCCGATGATAAAAACCCCGCTAGGAGACCGTTGTGAGGATTAAATTCGCGTTTGGTCTGAACGCAGCATCGGAGATCATGATTATGTTATTTAATGCCATAGACACTCAACAATTTAGCCAAGATAGCTGAATATTGCTGTCTGACATAACTTCAGACACCAAATACTGGAGATGAAAAAGGTCTCTCCTAAGACGTTTATTGTTTCTGACTCTGGGAAAGTGGGGAAGACATTAAATTCGCACATGAACACATTTAGGACATTCTTTGTGATCTCCTTTTAATAACTGAAGTTATATTTTGGAACGGTTTGGAGCCCCCCCCCCCCACACACACACTCGGGGCGTCCCGCCTCCCACTCTGAAAACCTGCACTTTATAAGATGTGTTTTTACGTGCTGTTGTGGTCATGACATGATACAGAATCAAAAGAGGGGATAAAAAGTTAAACAGATGAGACGTTCATGCATATATAACAAATTCACATCATTGCACATCAGCCCTATCAGAGCTAACCTTTGAGAAGCTTATTGCCCCACCCAGTTTTATAAAAACCTGCTCTGCTCTGAGTTTAAACGGCGCCACAAAAGTCTGGTTAGCGACTGAGCTACCTATATTCAATCTGCATGTTCTCACCACAGTAGCTAACCGGTAGCGGTCAGTATACGTCACCAAGCTTCCTGCTAAACCAAATCGAGTTTAGGACGTGGAAATAAATTTTTTCTGTGAGCGGACACTCGGGCGTGAGTTGAGAAGAGGAGACGTGTTGACAATCTGAATCCTGAAGGTGTCTTTTGATGTCAGAGGTGAATCTGATCCCAGATCCTGGATCCACAGCATGTGTATTAATGCAGGTGGAAGGAGACCACCTGAGTTCTCACTGCATCCAAACCCAGAGCCATGAGAGGAGGAGGAGCAGGAAGGGGAGGTGAAGAAAGAAGTTAAAATCTCTCCGTTCATGTGGCTGTCCAGGAGAAGCGGCCTCACAGTTTCTGTCTTTGGTGGTGCGGGTCATCGTCCCGTCCTCCTTCGCCGCGGAAGCCGGACTCGGTCCCTCGTTCACAGCTCGGCTCTGTGAAGCTCGTGGTCGGCGTTTAGTCACCGTCCGTCTGCAGAGTCAGTTCGAGGTCGGCACCAAACAGCTCCTTATAGAGAGGAGGGAAGTGCGTCCCAACGACGTCGGGGTAAACGGCTCTGAACGCCGACAGCTTCTCTGTGTGACGACTGCACAGGGAACGCAACGCCGCCACCTTACATCTCAGCTGAGGAGAGGAAACGAGTAGAGGAAGAGAGGAGACAGGAGAGGAGGAGAGGGAGAGGAGGAGAGAGAGGAGAGGAAACAAGACGAGAGTGGAAACACGTTAGGAAACAAGGAGAGGAGACAGGAGAGGAAATGAGGATACGAAACAAGGAGAGGAAATGAGAACAGAAAAGAAGAGAGGAGACAGGAGAGGAGGAGAGAGGAGAGGAAACAAGAGGAGAGTGGAAACACGAGGAGAGGAAACAAGGAGAGGAGACAGGAGAGGAGATGAGGAGAGGAAACAAGGAGAGGAGACAGGAGAGGAAATGAGAAGAGAAAAGAAGAGAGGAGAGGAAGCAATAGGAGAGTGGAAACAGGAGGGGAGAGAGGAGAGGAAACAAGGAGAGGAAACAGGAGAGGAGAGGAGGACACAGAGGAAGACAGAGTTATTACACACATCCACCAGTAAGAGAAAATGTTTTTACCGGTCAGCACCACAAGAGGTCAATGTGACGCCATGTTCTAACGTCTGAGTTTTATTTTTAACGTCCTCTGAAGTTATTTTTATCAGGCAAAAGGTTCCATTATCAGATTTATTATGTACACCAGATATGTCCTGCAGTAGCGTTGATATTTATAACAGAAACAAACAGAAACTTTGTCTCTTGTCCCAAACTCGTCACATAAAAACAGGCACACAAAACATTCCTAAAACAAGACCACTGTGATCCTACCAGAAGAGATCAGCAGAGATGAAGAACAGTCTTAAAATCAGAAGCTCTAAACTGAACATTAAACTCACATAACAGGAGTGACGGTTCTGCAGCTGGACTTGCACACAGATGTTTTACTTTTGGTTAAAATCTGCTTCATAAGGCAGACGGTTTGTAATTTAGGTTTGATAATCAGGGTTTAATACAGTTTAATCAGTAAAACCTCGAGTCTTAACTTCAGCGCTGTGTGTACCTTGTTCAGCAGCCCTTCCTCCCTCTGGTTCTTCTGCAGGACGTGTTGCAGAGCCAGCTGAGTCTTCTGCTGCAGCTTCTCCACCTGCAGCTTCTCCTGCAGCCACGACCGATCTGCGGCAAAAACAGCCTGTGAACTCAAATTCAATCTTTCAGGACGACGGAGCGAGACAGATGAGCGAAGAGACGTACCTGCGGAGAGCAGAACGAAGGCCGAGAACAGGGCGAGCTCGTCCTCCGTCAGATGCAGCGAACACATGCTCTTAGCAAAGTCGAACACGGATGTGATCAAGTCGTCACAACCTGGAAACACACAATGCGAAATAGTGATGAAACATATTCAGTGACTTTCAGGCCTCTCGCTCAGCAAAGATGGAAACAGGCTGCTATCAAACAGCATTAATACTCCTTAAATAAAATCAGGAGAGACAGACAGAGACTACTTTAGAAAGGATGAAAGCCGAAAGTTACCGTAGTCATTTCAACTTGGGTTAATTTTTCTGTAAAGTTAACTAAATGATTGAATTGTGGGGAATCTAACGGCGTGTAGCATGTCCACACTGACAACATTTATATTTGTATGTGTGATTTCAATCAATCACATTTTATTTAAAGTGCAAAATCACCAAAAGACATGGTCCCAATACACTTTACAAAATACACCGGAACAAAACAAAGGAGCGTGATACACAGCCAGAATAAAATCCACAAAATAAAATAATGAACAGGATTTAATAACTTCAAGTTTGCTCAATCCTGCCCCAACTAAAAGCTTCTTCAAACAGAAAAGTCTAACCTCAAAAGTGGTGATGTCTGATTCCAGAACCCAAATTGAGACATGGTTCCATTATTTAAAGAGGCTCTAGAACAACAACATCCAGAGAACCTCTAGAAAAATCAGACCAGGCTACTAATTGAGACCCGCGTTTATCTGTCAAATCCAGGCCGGTTAAAAAGGTACAGGCGTTGAATTAGGGCTCTGCTTTTAAATAAAGTTTTACGGTAATTCAACGTTTAATCATTTTAATGTGACTGTGCAGCCAAAGATCCAATATTTACCTTCTTCTTTAAAACAAGCCTGATGTTTCACCAGAGGCACATTCAGGGATAAAGTTTCGTCTCGTAAACAACAACTATTCAGGAAATTAAGTAGTGAAATACGGATTAAACGGGCTGATATCTGGCATTTTGAGATAAAGAGCGCGGGCCGATACCTGCACTCACGTCGAGGGTGGTGAAAATAAGTTTGGATCCCTAAATGTCCTCAGCTTTTACTATACATAGCATGTTCCTCCTAAATGACAGCAGGTCTAATCTAACAGAGTTAAATCTATATCTATCTATCTAGTTATACTATAGAGAATAAAGCCGCTGAATTACGTCTGACAAAGTGAACCCTGCTCTTCCTTAAACACCAGCTGTGTTCTGAAATCTACAGCAGTATGTTTCTGTTTCATTCATTAATAAAGCTTCCATCTGAAACAACACGTTACTGAAATAACATGTAGATTAGGTTGTTCTCTGCAGGAATTATGGGATTATACATGACTTTTCTTTCCTGCTCTCTAGATATCAACATCGGCCTTTGAAAGCTTATCTCTGCAATCTATAAAGCACATATAATGAGTTTAAAACAAATCATCACCTACTTTGACATTAAATTATTTTGAATATAAATTTAAGGACAGACACAAATAACATCTTAGTTTTGTGATGAGAGAGCTGGCAGGTGGAAGAAGTACTCATGTACTCATCATGTACTTCAGTAAAAGTAGTAACACCACAGTGCAACAATACTTTGTTACTAGTAAAAGTTCTGAAAAGTAAAAGAAATAGCTCTTATTAGGCCCATTTTATGATCAATAAAGTCAAATCTTAATCAATAATTTTACATCCTAGTTTTTTGGTGACTGTATTTTGTATTATTATTATTATTATTATTATCATCAAGTACAAGTCCACCTTAAAATGGTAGTTAAGAACAGTAGTTGAGTAAATGTCCTTGGTTATTTTCACTACTGCCAATTTCAGAAACTCCAGATGCTACAGAGCACCCAGGAGGTGGAATATTAGACGTTATATTGATGTGGAAATGTGTGCAAAAGGGAGAATATATATATCTCTTTACATATAGATTGATAAAGACCTTCTTTGTCTCTCTCGATAGATAGACACAGCTTGAGTAAGTATTGAAATCTCCCACTACTCTTGAACTAAGCCCACGGTGCGTCTGCGTGAAGGCAGGGGAGATGTTATTTGCTGTGATGCAGCACCTGCAGAGACAGGAGGTCAGTAATCATCTGTTAGAAAGTTCCCCCGCTCACCTAACGCCTCGAAGGCATCGGGACCTGCAAACTTCCCATCGAAGTAGACGGTGTTGTTCTGCGAGTCAAACACGCGACACATTCGGACGAAGACGACCTCCAGAGAGCCTGGCAGAGGAAACACGGAGAGACGGGTGATTCATGTGTAATCCCGTCTGACTTGTTGACAGTGAAAAGCACCAGATGTGAATGAAGCCGTTATGTTCCTGGCGTCCCCCCCTCACCAGCTTTTAGCAGCACGATCTGGTCATTTTGACAGAGATCCATGAAGCCGTCGATGCGTTTGGCGAACTCCACCACGTACTGTATGGCCTCGGTGACCTTTACGGCGCAGAGCTGCCACATCACCTCCCGCGGCTGCACAGGACCGACAGGGAAGAGATTAAAACTAAACACGTCTGAAGTTAACAGCACAATAACCAAGGAGCGGTACGCGGCTGGTTCAGTTCCAGTAAACGCACCTTGCTCTGGTAGATCTCCACCTCGTCCTGCAGGAAGTTCTGCCAGGTCATCTGCTGCAGCTCCTCCTTCAGGTACTGACACGTCTCCAGGTGGGACTTCGAGATGATCTGAGCCAGGTGATCTGCGACGAGACAGTGAGCAGGTGAACACGGCGAGATCGACCCATCAGGTCGGGGCTGTGACCATTAAAAGAAAGTCAACAACATGCTGAGTAAAAGTTGGTACCATAGGTGTCATTTACACCTTGGACCCACAACTTTTTTGAAGGCATAATTTGTTTAAAATGAAAATGCTTTGAGAAAGGTTTATTTGCACATTAGGAAAACATGCAATGTAAATATAGAAGAATCTATAGGATTCCTTCGGTGTTGATCGTTCAGAAGGTTTCTAGCAGCAGCCGAATTTCCAAACACGGACCCGGTCATTACAAGCTAGAAAACAAAACCACCAGTTTCATCCTACAGCGTGTCTCTAGTGGACACTGGCCGTCAGCGAGCCGATCGAGTGGGAACTATCTGCAATGCAAAACGGAGGAATATGAAATGTTTGTCACCATGACGACTTTCTAGAGTCGGAAAGTCGTCACAAAAAACCCTCTGTTAAGCGGCAATCACGAGGGTGGGAAAGAGTTAGTCAACAGGCCGCGTCCACACTGCTGCGTTCTCCAGAAAGGTGGTTTAAAATAGCAGGAGGTTGGAAGCTCATCTTCAGAGCTCATTAAAGGTGACCTTTTGCTACGTTTGCACCTCCCGTCCAGACTACAACGGCGAAAACGGAGAAGTTTTGAAACACAGTTTGTGTTTCAAAACTCCAGAGGGCGTTTTAGTGAAGACGGGCCAAAACAGAGGACTTTAGAAACGACGACGCAGCCGCTCACGCTCGGCTCTCTGATTGGGTCTTATAGCCTAAGTCATGCAAAGCAGAAACACGATGACATGGTATTTTTATTAAAATATTCTGTACCGTGCAAATAACATTAGGAATAATGGGACTTTGTTTGGATATCGGCATTATATATCCTGCTCTATAAAAATCAGCATCGGCCTTCGAAGAAACCCGTATTGGTCGACCACTAAAATAAAAAAAATCTATAAAGCACATATAATGAGTTTAGAACCAATCCTCACCTACTTTTACATTAAATTATTTTGAATATACATTTAAGGACAGACAAGTGTTTTGGCATCTAATCAGCCCTTAAACTCATGGATCTGGATCCTTTATTTTGGTCTGAACGCAGGCCTACAGCGTGCACAAACTCAAAGGTTTCATGTATTCGGGCCCCGGACTCCTACACAACACGTGTGGCACAGAAGAGAAACTCTGCCACATTTTTAAAATCCAACTGTGTCAACAAAATGTTTGTGAACGCAGCAGCTCAGGCAGGAAACAACCCTGAAACATACAGTAACTGTTGTTCTGTTCAGCGTCTCTGGGCTAATTGCTCCATATGAATATGAAATAACACGAGAGACCAAAAGAACAAGGTACAGAAACACCGTCGGCTGACACAGCTTCTGGGGCGGGGGGTGGAGGTGGAGGTGGAGGTGTTATGATAGATGCTTTTGTCAAAGAAAAAAAAAAAAAAAAAAACAGGAATAAAAACATCTCCAGGGAGAATGAAAATATGATTTCCCCCGTGAGTGGCCGGCCTCGTCCCACTTGGCCCTAATTAAGAGACGGCTAATTACCACGCAGAGACTTTAATGAGCTCTGAAGATGAGCTTCCAACCTATTTTAAACCACCTTTCTGTCTTTGTGCGGCCCACAGTGTCTCTTTTCTCTCTTTCTAACTCCTCTATGTGGCTGCTGCTTCTTCTACCGCTCTGCTTCACGTCTTTTAAGATATTTCCTCATCGCTCTCTCCCTCTGTTGGTTTTTCCCTCCAGCTCTTTACAGCCTTCTGCCGTACGGCGGAACGTTTTGTCATTTTCCTTTTTTTGGATCACCAGGTGTGGATGCAGACTTTAACTCCGACCCGTCGCCAGGGTTATTAAAGTGGTGGGCAGTAACTGAGTACATTTACTCAAGTACTGTACTTGAGTACAAATTAGAGGTATTTGAACTTTTCCTTTCATACCACTTTCTGCTCCACCTCTGAGGGAGATATTGGACTTTTTAATTCACTACATTCATCTGACGGCTTCAGTCACTTTACAAAGTCAGATTTTTAAACACAAAACACATGAGGAGTTTATAAAATGTAATGTTTTGTTATAAATTAATCCCCAACAGTTTATACAAGTACAGCTAGTACATGAGTTTTATCTGGCAACTGTTTCGATAGTTGTTCAAGACATTTTTCATGTCAAAACTTTTCCTTTTAATTTTTGGTGCGAGAGACCCGGGTTCAATCCCCCACTGTGAGACATCCACCATTGTGTCCCTGAGCGAGACACTTAACCCCTCGTTGCTCCAGAGGCGTGCGACCTCTGACATGTATAGCAGCTGTAAGTCACTTTAGATAAAAGCGTCAGATAAGTGAATGAATGTAATGTAAATTCTGAGGTTTGGACTGACAGCACAAGCATTGTGAAGAAGTCACTTCGGGCAACTGTGGCAATATTTCTCCCTATATAGAAGAAAATAAACCATAATAAAAACCATTAATTTCAGTCTCATATAAAACAGTTCAACCTCAACCAGCTACAACAGTAAAAGCTGATGATTAATAATAATAACAGTCACATGGGACATTTTTCATTCTGCACTGTACACTTTTACTTTGAATAATATTAAGACTTTACAGTCTCAGTTATTTTTTTGTAAAGCCTCGTTTTTATTTTTATTTCAGTTAATGAAAATGTTATTTTTATTAGTTTTCGTTAACAACCTTGCTTGTCACTGGGGCTAAACTGTTCGGAGGAGGCGTGTCCTCCTCCTTGGCCCCTCCTCCTCTACAACCACCTTTGCTTTCTCCTCCATCTCACCGAGTTCAGCCAGGGACGATGCGTTCCCGTCACTGAAGGAGCAGTACGGGAAGAAGCTGTTACTGGAGCCGTAGTCGCACAGCGGCTCCGGTTTGATGCCGTTAACATCCAGCCCGGACTGATCCGGGGATGGCTGGAAGTCCAGGTAGAACCCGCCACCTCCTCTTTCTCCTCCTCCAGAGTCTGCCTGTTTGTGGAAAGCAAGGTTGACACATATGAACTGTAAGTAATTCCATTTCAGGGTGTAGCTTTCACTCAAACACCTCTGACAGACCTTAGAGGAGACAGATCCTCCTTCAGGCGAGTGTTGTTCCACGTAGCCTCCCAGCTCATCCTGCAGCTCCGTGAGGCCCGTGGAAGAGAGGCCGTAGTGAGGGGACAGCGGCTCAGCCTCGCCCGGGTTCGGGCTGCCGAGGCTGGGGTGGGACAGGAGGGGAGGACCCTGCTGCTGCTGCTGCTGCTGCTGGAGGCGGTGTTTCTGCACCTCGGCGTACAAACTGTCCCGCTGCTTCTTGGACATGCGACCAAACTTTACAGCTGTGTTTGAGGTAGAGGAGAGGTTAGCAAGAACATGAATAATAATAACCTCACAGACAAAGACACTTGAGCACCGCTGGCGTGTCTGCAGGTTAACATCCTGCAAACTGCTGACCGCCAGATGTGTCTGCAGGTGAGAGTGCGCACGTGTTAAATGTATGCACCTGTGTGTGACTCACCGTCTCGGGACATGCCCACAGACAGACATTTCTGCAGACGGCAGTGCTGGCAGCGGTTGCGGCTCGTTCTGTCGATCACACAGTTTTTCTGGCGAGGACACGAGTAGGCGGCGTTACTCTGCTGACTCCGCCTGAAGAAACCCTGAAAGAGGAGGGAACTGTCTGAAAAGGGTTTTTGTTTTTAGATTCCAGTTGTGGCCTTCACTCATCTTTTCAGCACTTGTAAAAGATATTACAGCTGTTTTGTTTTTATTTGATTTGCCATTTTACTACCCAGAAACCCCTGTATCCACGGGCCGTACTGCCACATCTCCCATCAGCCCCTCTCTCTCTCTCTCTCGTATTTGTACACATCCGCTGCTCGTTGGCTGTGAAGCGAGCGTCCAGCTGCCAACAGCAGCTGCACACTCGGGCTTGTTCAGGGAACCTTTCTAAGCAGGAGTTCTTCTGTTGTGACTGATGGTCCAAACTGAACAAATGTTTCTTCTGCTTCTGTTAATGAGACTCAGGCTGTCGGGCCGCAGGCAGGCTGCGGTGGAGACAGAGAAACTGCCCAGGTGTGGGAGGATAACAGGGAAATAGATTTTTGTGTTTTTAAAACTTCCTTAAATCATCTGTAGTTAAGCAGCGATTGTGGTAAATATGGGCTGAACTATGAAATGTGACGGTCAAGCTAGATATTAGTTTTGCTACAAGCTGATTTTTGAAAGCTTACCCAGAAGACTTCTTTTGGTAGACCCTGACAGATAACTCATTTTGTCGTGTAGGTGTGAGGACCTGCTGTCTTGGGGTGTTGTGGCTGAAACTGAAGCTGTACAATGTTGAACAACAGCAACAACAGCAGTCTTAGTGGATCCTGGTGCGTCCACTGTCCTGATGCAGAGGACAACTTGTCTTTCCAGGTGTCACAATTGGTCCATTTGACAATGTGGAAATAACACAAACAAGAACCAGAAACAAACCAACAAAAAAACCCAATCTCATGACGTTCACTGCAGCCACTGAAGCCCAGTGCTGCTCAAATCTGCACAGAAACATCACGAACATTTGCATTTTAATCCTAATAACAAAGTTATCAAGGAGGTAAAAAGGACAGATTTAAGGACTGTTTTTGATTTTAAACTCTGAAGTCTTTCAGTCAGAGGCCGATTTCCTCTGAGAGGCTTCAAAGTGGTGGAACAAAAAAGAAATATAAATGACGGAGTCTCCATGAAAAGGGTTGAATCCCAATCTCCACACTCACAGACTTTGAGTAGCGTTCCCGGTGAGCGTTCAGGTGCATCAGGGTTTTGTTTCGCAGACTTTTTTAACCCTTTGTGCAGACTTTAAGTACATGCATCTCTGCAGACTTTGCCTGAGGGAATTCTCCACAGTTCATAGTGTGTTGTTGTGACAGTGCCCTCTCTATTAATGCAAAGAAGACTAAAGAGCTAGCGATCACGAGACACAACAGTGCTTGTCCATATTTTTCTCCTGTTTTGATTAACGATAAGCCTGTTGAGATAGTTGAGGAGTTTAAATACTTAGGAACCATTTTTGAAATTTTACAGCCAACACAGAGTACGTTTTTAAAAAAGCAATGCAGCGTCTATATCTGATCCAGAAATTGGACATAAGCAAGAATATCGAAAATGTGGAGGTGCTGGTACCGCGTACCGGTGCGTTCCGCCCCACTTCAAGCACTGTATGTACACTGTATGGACACTTGGGGGAAAAGGACAAAAACAGATTGTGCAGAATTACAAATTTGGCTGGGAAAGAGCAACGACATTTGGGATGTATGTATAAAACACAGGTGAAACAAAAAGCTAGACGAATTGCATCTGATCCTGTACACCCCTTGTTTAATGAATTTATTAAATTGCCCTCTGGAAGGTGCTATAGAGCAGCTGCAGCAACTAAGAACCTTTACAAAAAGTCTTTCATACCAAATGCAATTATCTCTCTAAATTCATAATGTCTCCACTCCGGAATCCAATCAGTTATGGTCTGTACTGTGTATGCCAAAAACAAATTTCCACATTTGTGGACAATAAAGACATTTGATTTGAAACACAGGGTTTCCAGGGGAAGTTGCCGTTTAAAAAAAGGTAAACAAACATGGAAGGAGCAACTACAAGAACAAAGATGAACGAAGAATTGTTTTGGCGTAGTCACGGTGAAGAAATAAGATATGTCCCATTTTACCATTTCTGCCCCTTTGCAGCCTCTCGCACTTGAGCACTTACCAGGTGACTTCAACCAAGTCTGTGAGGTCTTCAGGGTGGAGATTGGGAATGGACCTCTGTCTGAGAAAAGGCAGGAAGCTCATGCCGAACAGGAAGTGGGACAATATAGAGGAGAGGGCGGGGCTTACCTTACAGCCCTCACAGGTGATCACCCCGTAGTGGATCCCTGACGATTTATCTCCGCAGATCTTACAGGGAATGATTTCAATCTGAGCTGCAGACAGAGAGAATAAACTGTCAGGATCACACGCTCCAAACATCAAAACATCCGCCAGCAGAAACATGGACGCCATAACAATGGCAGCTTTATTCTCAGATTAGCTCTGTATCAGATGACACGAAGATGATAATGCTTGATTCTGTTCATTTAAAGAAGCTCCATTAATAAAAGAAACGTCAAACATACTACAACACAGCCGGCAATCCCTCCTCACACTGACACATCCATAAATGGTGGCGAATAAACTCACGGCTGCACAAACATGACAGACAAAGGGTGAGGTGGCGAGGGTTTGTTCGATATAAGTCATCACACTAACGAGTCAAAGTCGAAACAGGAGATGTCCTTGCTCTTGCAGCGGTGTCAGCGCACGTGTGTGGAGCCTTGCGCCAAAAAACACGGTGCTGCACAAATGCTGGTGCAGCAAATATGGCAGGAGCCGAGTCTGCAGGGCATAAGTCTTTACTGAAACGCTAACTCAAATATTCAGTCTGTAAAGGGCTGCACAAAATTCAGTATATAATCTATATAAGCACAACAGAGGATTTAAATTCAACAAGTCCTCCAAATGAATTAACAAAATATGTTTGTTCGTTCAGGTGTTTTCTGATCTGGTGTCTCATCGTTTGTTTTTTCAAAACTCTTACAAATCAATGTGGGAAAAAATACACAATTAGTTTCATGATGTGACCAGCAAACGCGCCTGAATAAATATAAATACACATTCAAGCTGAGATAAAAAAAGATTCAAATCCTGAACATAAATCCGAACTATTTTAAAACGTTAAACTAATTGTTCTGTTTTATATCGCCTATGCAGCACCTTATAACAACCCATATTTACATTTACTGTTAGGCTGCGACCTTTAGTTGCAGAAGAAGTCAGGTGATGTAGTATAAAGAGTAACAAAGTCCGTATAAGCAGGTGGTGGATAGATGTGAAAAACAAACACAGGACTTTCAAACAGGAGACAGAGGGTCGAGTCCCGTGTGATGCCAAGTAAACGTCAACTTTTTTAAAGTTAAATAACTTTATTAACTTACATAACGTACTCATTTTAATCTTAACCAAGTAGTTTTGTTGCCCTAACCAAACTGTGACCCTTTCACCACATGTTTAACGTCATGTGACTTGGTTAACGTCCTTTAGGTCCAGTACGCCTGTCGCTGAACTGGTACTTATATACTGAGCTTCTATCTTTAGCAGAGGAATGGGCTCATATACAGTCACAGGAAAAAGTATGTAAACCTTTTAGAATTACCTGAATTTCTGCATAAATTGGTCATAAAATGTGATCTGATTTTCATCTAAGTCACAATAGACAGACACCGTCTGCTTAAACTAACACCACACACCGTGTAAACATTCACAGTGCAGGGTGGAAAAAGCATGTGAACCCCTAGTCTAATAATAATAATAATAATAATCCTTATTTGTAGAGCACTTTTCAAAAACAAGTTACAAAGTGCTTTAACAAGTGTAAAGAATAATACAAAAAAAAGATAAGAGCATGAAAATTTAATATAAAATTAGTAAATTACAATAAAATAAAAGGGATAAAATAAAGTCAAATAAGATCGGGAAAAGCTCTCCTATAAAAGTATGTTTTAAGAAGGGACTTAAAAGAGTTCACTGACTCAGCCGACCTGATTTCCTCGGGCAGGCTGTTCCAGAGCCTCGGGGCCCTGACAGCAAACGCTCTGTCCCCTTTAGTTTTCAGTCGAGACTCTGGAACAGACAACAGACCTCTGCCCGAGGATCTCAAGGTACGTGCTGGTGCGTATGGGACTAAAAGGTCAGAAATATAACAAGGCGAGAGGCCATGAAGAGCTTTAAAAGTGATCAATAGAATTTTAAAGTCAATTCTAAAACATACTGGGAGCCAGTGTAATGAAGCTAAAATAGGAGTAATGTGGTCATATTTCTTTGTTCTGGTTAAAAGCCTGGCAGCTGAGTTCTGGACAGTCTGGAGTCGATCAATAGATTTTTGGGTTAAACAGGTGAAAAGGCTGTTGCAATAATCCAGGCGTGATGAGATGAAGGCGTGTAAAATGGTCTCGGTGTCCTTAAAAGTTAACATAGATCGAATTTTAGCTATATTTCTAAGTTGATAAAACATGATTGAACAAGCTTTGTGGTGTGCTGCTCGAAATTTAAATTACTATCAAACCAAACACCAAGGTTCTTTGCCACAGGCTTAATGTGATTTACTAGGGAACCAGCAGATGGCAGTATTTGATTTGCCATCTGCTGAGACCCGATGACCAGGATTTCTGTTTTGTCTGAGTTCAGCTGGAGGAAATTATTTGACATCCATTTTTTAACTTCACAAAGGCAGTTGTTAAGTGAACTCAGCATTCCAGGGTCTGTGGATCTGACGGGCAAGTATATTTGTGTGTCATCAGCATAAATATGAAAAGAAATGCCATGTTTATGGATAATATGTCCAAGGGGAAGCAGATACAAGGAAAACAAAATGGGTCCTAAGACCGACCCCTGAGGCACACCATATTTAACTGGACAGAATGAAGAGACATAGTTGTTTACAGACACGCAAAACTTCCTATTTGACAGGTAGGATGAAAACCATTCTAGAGCAGTACCAGAGATCCCCACCCAGTGCCTCAGTCTGTCTAACATGATGTTGTGATCAATGGTGTCAAAAGCAGCGCTAAGGTCCAGGAGTACAAGGACTGAGCACATGCCTTCATCAGCAGACATTAAAAGGTCATTGGTGACTTTAAGCAGGGCAGTCTCAGTGCTGTGGTACTTCCTAAAACCAGACTGAAACTTTTCAAATATTTTGTTATTTTCCAGTACAGTGAGCAGCTGTTTGGACACAATTCTTTCTAGAATCTTTGCAGTAAAAGGCAGTTTTGAAATTGGTCTAAAATTTGTGGGAGGGAGGGATCTAAACCAGGTTTCTTTAAAAGTGGGTTCACGCAAGCCGTTTTAAAATAATCAGGGACACAACCAGTAGATAGGGAGCTGTTGAAAACAGAGATCAAATGGGGCCCAACAGAATCTATTACTTTTAGTAAAAATTTTGTAGGTATTATATCAAGTGGGCTGGAGGACACTCTCATTTGTGATATTGTTTTTAAAAGCTCAGACAAGTCGATGGGATAAAACTGGTTAAAACTCTGTTGTTGCTGGTGAGGAACCTCTGAGTAAGAGGCCACGGGGGTAATAGAGGCTCTGATTGACACCACCTTATTGGTAAAATAAGATAAAAACAATTCACAGTCATCATTACTTCCAGCTGAGGCACAAGGAGGGGTTGGGTTTACCAGCTGATCCACAGTCTTAAACAGAAACCTGGGATTGTGTTTATGTGTAGTAATGAGTTCAGAAAAATAGTGTGTTCTCGCTTCCTTAACCATTTATTGTAGTTAATTAATAAATCCTTCAGACTGAGGTAATGGACTTGGAGACTGGATTTTTTCCATCTGCGCTCTGCTTTCCTGCATTCCCTTTTTAGGCTGCGAATGCTGTCATTTATCCAGGGTTGTTTACTAGCTTTAGACGTAGGCCTAACCTTTAGAGGAGCAGTAATATTTAGTGACGACAAGCAGATACGATTGAAGTGATCAACCAGATTGTTGGTGTTGGAATCAGACAGGTGTTGGCTTTGGCTCTGAAAGACTGCGCAAAACTTTGAAACACTTTGTTCATTAAAGATGCGACAACACACGGAGCTTGGTGAGGCGGCGTGAGTAACAGGCGAATCGCAGCTAAAAACAATACATCTGTGGTCAGATATGGTCATGTCCACTAATTCCACAGAGGAAATGCTGACACCCAGGGTAAAAACCAAGTCCAGTGTATGACCACGGTTATGTGTTTGCCCTTTGACATGTTGTTTGAAGTTAAAAGAAGTGGCCATATTTAAAAAGTCAGTTGCATTAACATTGTTGGGGTCATCAACATGAATATTAAAATCGCTACAAAGAACAATTCTGTCATAATTTAAAACCAGAGTAGATAAAAATTCAGGAAGTTCTGATAAAAATCCTCCAGGCGGTTTTGGGGGGCGATAAATTATAACAAATATGATAGGTTGCAGCCCTCCAACTTTAAGAGTGAGAACTTCAAAGGAGCTAAATTCATCACAGCGTACTTGATGACATTTAAAATTTTTCCTATACACGCTCACTAGCCCACCACCACGACCACTGACCCTCGGTTGACTAAAGCAAATCATATTGAGGCGGACACAGTTCAGCTAGCTGGCTATAGTCATTCATTTGCAACCAGGATTCAGTTAAAAACATAAAATCTAGATTTGCAGACAAGATAAAATCATTTAAGATAAAAGTCTTACTTGAAAGTGATCTCACATTGAAGAGAGCCATTTTAAATGAGTTTGTTCTGGGTGCTGGAGTTGGTGCAGTTGTCCTAATCCTTAAGAGATTACTATTATTTCTGTGTGGGATGTGCACATTTCGGTTTACTGGTCTATGCGTGATGATGACAGGAATAGAAGTCTGTGGAACAGCGCTGGGTGCAGACGGCTTTACATGCCAGCAGGTGGAGACAGTTGTTTGTGGCAGTGAGGCAGAGATCTGTTCTGTGAGTGGTGGTGTGTCCAGGTGTGCTGCATGAATGATGAGTCATTCACGTAAGTCATGTGTGGACCGCACCGCATGCTGTATGTGCGCAGCTAACATTTCTGAGCCCCGTTTGTTTGGGTGAAGTCCGTCTGTCTTAAAAAGAGACATTCTTTGCCAGAAAATATTAAAATTATCCACATAAAACACACGGTGAGCCCTG